ATGAACATTGCTCAACATCATGAAAATTAAACCTTATTTTCAATAAGCAATCCTGAAAAATATTTGGGGGTGCTTAACTTTTTTCCAGGTGTATATATTAAAAGTTTACATTCTTTCGTCACAAGAAGCATCAGAAGCTTTTTTTACATATTTTTACATATATTAAGTAAATACAATTATACACGTAAATGTTTGATAACATCTCTAATTAATTAGTAACACAAAGTATTGTAGTAATTAGAAAGGACTGAAAAGAAAAGCCAGGGAAATGAAGGCCACGTCTTTTTGGTGTTCAATAATGATCCTATTAATCTAAACCAATACTTCTTTTACGTCTGTATCGTTTACTTGAAAAATTAAGATGTCAATTTTAACATTTTTACTTTTAAAGCTTTTTATTTCAATACACAATTACGCTACATTGTTTCCTTTAAAGAGATGTATTCTCAGATAATTTATACTAACGACAAAGATATGATAACTACTACAAACTAGTTAAATTTCATTTAGAAATAATAGAGGCACAGTGGTACGTCTGCGGACTTACGATGCTAGAAACTGGTTTTCGATACCCGTGGTGGCCAGACCACAGATATCCCATTGTGTAACTTTGTGTTTAACTTCAAACAAGCAAGTACTTTTAAAAAAAAGTTTGAACAACAACACTAAAAAAAAGGTGTCGAACTTTCTTCCCTCTCATTTTAAACGGAAGGAGGTTCACCAGTTCTATACCGCACAGCATTTTAAAATTTGGCTTTTGTCGCGTTTTTACAGTTTGTCAATCGAGCAGTGAACTGGTACGACCATGCAGTATCTATACTGAACACTAAACTCGATTTCTTTTATTTATTTTTTTAGTAGTAGAGGGCGTATTGTTTGTGAAAACTATGTAAATATAACAAACAAGCCAACGTCAAATATTAGTCTTTTAAAGCTTGCGTGGTGTGTTTGTATTACTGAAAACGAGAATAACACGAGGAAAATATTTTAGATACAAAATATACTTTCAAATCTAGAAGAACTGGTTTCATAACTATATAACTTGTTTATTTTATTTTGCTATATTTAGATAGTCAGGTTCATCTTCGAAATGTTGAAGCGTGATTTGTTAGAAGACGTTATACTGTCGCCAATTTCTCGGTGACAAAGTAGTAAGT